GGTCCCTGTGTGTGTGCAGAGGCTGGCCAGGAGGCCAGTGTTTCTCAAGCCTGTGGGGCCTAGCCAGTGGCCCTGCTCCAGCCTGGCACCAATCCACACCACAAAGAAGGAAGGCCCGGATGCCAGGGCCATGTCCTTGTCCTTCACCAACACCTAATCCCATCAGCCGCCATCCCCTGGGCTGTGGAACAATAGCACCCTTGAAGCAGTTCTGGCAGGTCCCCAGGTCTAGTTAATCCAAGGGCAGTGACACTTGACACTTGGATATGTCGGAGACTCCGCCCACAGAGCCACTTACAGCCTTACAGCCACCTACCCAGGTCCAGCGTGCAGCTGGGAAAACAAGGCAAAATGCTGTGAGAAGGAAGGCCTGGGGTCTTTTGGGACCCTAGGCACAGTGTAACTTCTGACATATGGCAGCTCCTGTATGGCTCTCTGTTTTGTTGGTAAAGGTCTGGATGCTTACTTCATTTTGACACTTCATATTGGCTCTGAGAACATAGACCAAGCAAGGGAGTCCTGCCCTTTGACCCTGCCTCTCAGGATTCATGACAGAAGTCCTCTGCCTCTGCTCTCTCTCACCTTGCAATACTCCCCTAACTTAGCCAATAAAAGGGAGGCTTAGAGAAATGAGGTGACTTCCCTGAGGGCCCACACATATATGTGAGGTTGGATTTGAACTCATGTGAGTCCCAGCCTCTCCCCTGCTCCTCTCTAAGCTCTGAGCATGGGTATATCATGTAAAGAAATTGAGGTGCCAGGTCCCAGAGTAGGCAGGGAGCTGAGCTAGGTCTTCAATGCTGAGCCACAGCTACCAAGCCCAGGGACCTGCCAGGGTAGCTAGCCTGGGAAGGACCCTGGATGTTTTTCAAAGTGGGGTCCCACCTAACCTGTCTCTCCAATCTCTGTTCATTGCTTGCTCAGATGCCTTCCAGGATGTTGCTAACATCAGGGCTTCTTCAGCACCCTTGCCTCCCCCATTTCCCAATGTTCTTGCCCAGCGCCAGTCTACATTCAGCAGGAACAATCATAGGAGATGAACCCACTACACATGGAGAAAATGGCTCTGCAAGGCATGTCAGCCACTCAAGACAAACCCTAGTGCCAATACCTGGGGTGGAGGGCTTCTTTCACCTTCTCTGCCCTGACCCCTTCCATGGTTTCCATAACCGCCATCAGGCCTGTGCACCACCTTCCAAAACATGCAAGCAAAAGCCCTATGACATGAGCCTGCTGGGTGAGGTCTGTGAAAAGTAGGACCAGAGACTGCATTTTAACGAGTCTCCTCCATAGACATGCCTACTTCCAGACCCTTCATGAGGCGGTGGGGGATGATGCCTGGGCTGCAAGTCCGAGTGAAGACCTTGGGGTGAGAGCCAAGGCCCATGAGAGGAGAGAGAGAGAGAGAGAGAGAGAGAGAGAGAGAGAGAGAGAGAGCAAGTCAGAAACTAGTAGCATTTTTCTGCCTTCCAAGAGGCTTGGCCAGGCAGGTCGGGATGGTGAGTGTAGAATCAGAGAGCTCAGGCATTGCCTTTTTTTTTTTTTTTGCCTAGGCTGGCCTCTGATTCACAGCAATCTTTGTGATGTGTTGAATAAGGGTCCTGTAAGGCACTGGCACCTATGTCCTTCTATGAGTGGTTCCCTGGACCCCAAAATTCCTTTGTGTCTGTAGGTCATTGGATGGACAGTAACTTGGAGGGTTGAGGCTAGACTTGGGCCAGCTGCTTCCCTTTGGTCTGGTCTTGGCTCCTGGTGGAGGACAGTGGTCATCTTTGGTGCGCCATGATTTGAAGGGGAGACCAGGGGACTTTGCGAACACCCAGTTTAAAAGTCCATCAAGCTACACACTTGGAACCCACAGGGCCCCTTTCTGTTTGGATCCCATATTTCACGACACTTCCTGTTCAGAGACATGTGACCAAGGAACATCTTCCTCATCTCTCCGGAAGACCCCGGCGAAGGACAGTGACTACCGGAGATGTCACAGGCTTTCAGACAGGAAGGCCCAGGTGACTGAGCTGGGCCCACAAGTGGGGCCTCATTTGGTCTAGAGTTTCAGGAGACTTCTTAGAGGAGGTGATGCTGAGCCAGCTGGGCATGTGACTTACACCTGTAATCAGACCCTGGGTAGGTTGAGGCAGGACGGTCACAAATTCCGAGGCAGCCTGGGCCACAGAGAGATATCCTGTCTCAAAAAGATGATTGAAAAAATGAGCAGCCACAGAGCCCTTGGGTGTATGGTGTAGTCTGCCAGGCCACAACTATGTGATTCGCACTGGCCTCCTTGCTGGCCTGTAGCACCACCCTGGGGCTCAGTACTACTCTTTGTGACAAACTCTTTCCCAAGTACCCATCAGACTCCCTTCCATTTCCTCTTTGGGTCAAGCTGCTCCTGCTCCCGTTCGGAATATCTGACCACCATCTGTAGGAACCCCAGCACCACTTACTTTTTTGTTTTATGGCCTTGGCTGCTGTCGTGTGTGTGTGTGTGTGTGTGTGTGTGTGTGTGTGTGTGTGTGTGTGTGT